GGGAACACTCATCGAGATCCCTCCCGCTAACGGGACCAAGCCCTGGAGCCGGCCGTCTGAGCCTAAGGGTTTGCTCTGGTCTAGCCGACTGCTTAGAGCAGCTGATCCGCACCACAAAGAGACCGGGAGAGTAGGGAAAACGTTCTCATGTTGTAGAAATGCCGGGAGCGGTTTCTGTTCAGTTCAAGTACAACAGCTCCAGGGTCTTGGGAGTTTCGTTTCTTTCTCTCTAACCGGTTGGGCGCTTCCGTTTTCGAGAGCCCACGGCTCGAAGCTCAAATTCCTAGGAAAGCCTCTATGATTCGACTATAGCCACCAGTGGTGGAACTTTGCGAGGGTGGAATAAAACACTCTGAGAGTTCGGAGGGACGCCAGCGCCGCCTGCCCTCGGGGTGGAGTCTGTTTTTCGCAGCGGCTTCTCTCACCTCAACATCGGATGAATTCGCATGAAAAGTGCTGAACTCCTTCGCGGAGAACCCCTGCGGAGATATTACATTCCGAACGAGGTGTGTTGACGCACACCCATAAGTATTGACACGCTCCCCGTTTCCTAGCCTCATCGTCAAGATGAATGTGTGTGTAAGTCTGCGCCTGTGACCGAACGCCTGTGGACAAAGTTATCGGAGTCGTCAGTACCTCCTATGACACGTTTCGAATACCACTGCTTTTAGCGAAAAGGAGAGTGCGAGATCCAGACGGCTCTCGGATCGGTCTTTTCCGCTCGGACGAGACCCGTGCGTAGGCCCTCGGTCATTTTCGTTCTCTCCCAGAGCTCGTTCGCCACACGCGGCTTCGCGGAGTCGGCTCGCCTCCCCGAGCGAACCCCTTTACGCAATGCGAGCTCGCTTTTGTTGAAGTTTTCAACAGGTGCAAGACACTCCGCCTGCTGCCGAAAGACTGGGAGTCGAAATCCTTCTTTTGCGGGCGAAAGTTCCTGGGCCCCGGGCTACGGAGCTTTCTGTTTCTGTCACAGAAGGCCGGAGTCATCCTTCTACAAATCGACCCGCGAACCGACCTGCCAACCATGGAGCTAGGCGTGCAGCCCACGATTCTCGGCCCAATCTGTTCGGCCATATTGCTGTTCGTTCTTCCACTCGTTTCCTCGAGGAGGGAATCGGAAGCGGCAACAACGACCGAAAGTACGTTCCTCGACCGAGAGGCGGGCCCGAACGCTGGTGCGAAGATGTCAAAAGAGAGTCACTACATGTCGGAATGAATCCAGTCTGGCTCCACTGTGCCGTCGGATAACACGTTCCGAAGCCGCTGTGTGCAAATATGCACGTAGTCCCCGTAGACACTTCCATAGCTCTCAACAGGTGTTCTATGTATGCGCCGTAGATGAGGGGTGCAGCTGTAGGGCTCACGTTCTCGCTCGCTCCTCCGGAGCCGAGGAAGCGACGAGTGCTTTGACGAAGTGAGGGAAACTAATGCATCAAGCAAAAAAGCAGAAACAGGCTGCGAGTTTGGGCCGGCTCGGTCGCTGGGTCGTTCGTTCGGATTCGAGCAACAAGAATAACGATGAAAGTGTCAATAAGAAAAAAACTCCCGTTTTTCCTGGAGCTCCGCCGAGCTTGCGCCAGGAACGGAGAGCTCCGGTCGACTCGAGTCGCGGGCCTCCGCTCGAATAAGTCGCGGTTCGATGTCTTCGAGCTGAGGCTTAGCAATCGAGCGTCGCGCAGGCAGAGATCTACTGGAGGTCTGGATCTCGGCTCAACAAAGCGATGCACGAGGAATAGCGCGGCAGGACGACAAGAACGAGCGCGCAGACAACAAACGACAAAAGGACGTCGACGGGAACAAACACAGGCACGTTTTGTTGGGGTTCGGTTGTCATATAGTGTTGTATGTATGTACATCCGTCCGTGTGCTCTGTGGAAGAGCGGGGGCGGCCGCTTTCATTTCGTATGCAACATTATTGCGTTGACTGTGGTGGGAAAGGATGGGAGGGAAAGATGAGATGGGGGTTGCGCTGACTCTGGACGAGTGAACAGGCAGACGGGCTCGCTTGACGGCGGAGATCGCTCCGAAACGCCGCGTCGTCGACGGAAAGCTGGACGGAGCGACTAGCTGTTTGGTTGCTCGACGAACGAGGAGGCTAAAGAAAAAAGAGGAATTGCGACCAGCGACGATAAATCTTTCAGACGTCTCGTAGACGGCGATGCTAAGAATCTAAGAAAACGACTACAAAGCAGGCCATAAGTCAGTCCGGTGTTCCGTCGTCGTCAGACGACAGGCAACTCGCTCCGTCGGCCGGCCGCTGTCAGTAAACGAACGAGCGACTGAGGAGCGACAAGAGAGGAGATCCCTTTTCGGCGGATTTGAGGACCGCATATTTGGCAGCGGCCACGCTCCCAAAACGCCAACGGCGGCTTCGATAAACGTCCTCTGCGAGCGCGTTCGACTTAACGATACTTTAAGTGTGATCGATATTTTGTCACGCAAGCCTCGCGGCGGCGCGGCTACGGGTCGGTCAAGTTTGACTCGGTCGGTCGGTGGGTCGTTCGCTCGCTCGCTCGCCCCGAGCAAGGATTTTGCTCTTGGAAGGAAAAACGGAATATTCTCCCGTCACGATCGCGAAACGATTTTTCCGAGCTTGCGACATTCTCAGAAATCAACTTTTTTTTTCAACTTCGCCGTCGCCGCCGCGGGAACGGTCGAGAAGTTTCCCCTCGCGATGTGGTGTCAAGTCGGTGCTCGGAAATTAATCGCGAAGTAATGGAGAAATAAAACCCGCGCGCTACGCTACCCAAGAATGTCTTGAATTATTATTATCCCCAGATTCGAGTCCGTCCAGCGGTCCGAGAAGACATTCGTTCGATTCGCTTCATCTTGCACGAGTCGTCGAACAGGCAAAACAGCTTCTCGTCTAATGAGATCAGAATTAATTTCGGATCCTGCTGCCGCGGCTGTTCCTTGATGGGTTACTCAATTCTTCTTCCTCGGAGCGTTTCTCCGACATTTTGAGACCTCTCGAATCTGTTGTAACCCTCTGTCGACCGAAGCTGGACTTGAGAGCTGCGGGAGGAACTCCCGTCGAAGAGGGACCGGGAGAGGAGAACAGTGAAACGTTGAAGGCTTCGGGCGCAATTTTTCACAAGTTCACGCTCCGTGGAACAAGCGAAGCGATGAATCGCGCTCCGATGGCGGGAATATCGAGCCTTGTCCGAGGAATCATCACCGCCGGTACCGGCTGGAATGACTCGTACCGAAGCACCCGCATCAGTTTCCGTTCCTAGACGCCATGCTCTTATACCTTCGTTCCTTCCGGACGGACCGACGGACGATCGGTTCGTCCGTCCTACCGTCCGTCCATCAATCAGTCGGCCTCAAGAATGTATCGATAAAAACCGTCGAAACCGGTTGAATTAATTCGGGAGTCTGTCGATAACAAGACTATAATGGATGGTAGTCACTGAGGGAAAAAATCAATTAACAAACTCCGTGGCGCGTGTGTACTCAGGGACTTCAAGCTTCCTTGAAGTTTCTCCGCATTTTTCTATGCGGAGCTGTCGATTTTTGACGTGGCGCCTCTGCGCAGCACCGCTAGTTATAGGCTCGCTGAGCAAGCGCGAAGTCTGGCGAGGAGCGCTTCACTGAAGAGTAGCGGATCCCCTCGGGAATCTTCCAGCCGAGTTTAGGGTTCGCTTCATGCGTCTCGTCCAGTTTCCCTAACGGCGTTTCCCCTCCTCGCCCTCCCTACCCTCGATTTCCCCTTGTTGAACTGGGCTCCTCGTAGCCCTTGTTGGATCCCCCTCGGGCCCCTGGGGCCCTCGTCGTCTTCCCGGGGCCCCGAATTTCCGTCTCGCCCCTATAAAGTCTCCCATCGCTTCCCTGTTCAAGCTCCGTGGCGTCGTCGTCAGCGGAGTTCCTTGGAGGAATGGTCGAGGCTGTGCAGGAAAGATTGCTAGCTGCGGTACTCGACGAGTTCTTCTTCTTCTTCTGCGGACGTCTCTTCAATAAAAATCGTCTTCTCCTCTGATTCTCCGTTCTTGTCCGCCCGCTGCTCGGCCCCAGTCAGTTATAGCCCCACTCGCTCACGGGCTGTCTAGCGGGAACCGGAGTCCGGAATCATTCGTTCCGAAATCAGCGCCATTTTCCGTTTAGGCTTCATCTGGCAACAGCCGAGACTCGATTGATGAAGTTTCGCATTAATATTACGTTCGTATTCCATCCTCGATCTTCTGACACTCTGGCTCTCTGAATGACTGTGCAGATCATTTGTTCCATCAGTTCAGGACGGAGCCGGTGATCGTATCGGATCGACACGGAGCTCTCGAGCGCCGTCGCCCGGTCACGGCGGAGTTTCGCCCCCGTGGGTCCCAGGTCCGGTTGACTCACACCGATTCGTGATTCGCGAGTTTTGAGAGTCTAGGCGATTGCGTCTGCGTCGTGATACTCGCTGACGTAGTGACGTCCCGAGAGGAAGCGGCGAGACGAGCCGATTGCAATGCGCAGCTCTACCCATGAGCTGTATTGCTCCTGTTTTAGGTTTCCTTACGGGGATCTTCAAGGTAACCAGAGCGGGGGCGGAAAAGAACGAAGCTGTAGACGAGGCCTTTGGAAAGCTCTGTAGGAGTGGAGTGGATTAAGGGGATCAATCGAAATTCCGAGGTGTCCAGCAGGACAGAATTGTGTCTTTTCTCCTCTCACGTCTGCAAGCGAACGCCGTGCCGGTGGGGGCCGAGTGACAGTTCTGTGTCGGAGTAGAATCTAAATAAATGAACAATGAAGGGAACATCGACAGTCGCTTCTGCTGAGTTCGCTCTCGCGCACCTGCTTTCCTGATAAGAGGGCCTATGAGAACAACGTATAGAATACGCTTTTCACGAAATAACATTCCTGATCCTGGATGATGTGCTCTTTGGAGGAGCATCCGACCTACCCAGCTGCTTGTTGAACCAGCATGTCTCGCTGAGTCGAGAGGTGTGTTTTTCCTAGCTCGACTACGAGCTCGGACCCTTGGCTTGCTTGAGATTGAAAACATCTCTTTTCGATTCCAGGTCAAAGTTTGGGATACGGATTCGTGAACTATGTTTGCGCCGAGGCCGCCGAAAAGGCGATCAACACCCTCAACGGACTGAGACTACAAAACAAGACGATTAAGGTGAGTTACCCGAGCCTGCTTCGGGTTCGAGACTGCAGAAGCTGTCGACCATACTGCTTTTAGGACGAAGTCTCCGTATGTTGTCGCTCCTACGAGAAACTCAGAAATCATCACGAGAAGGACTCATCGATGAAGTGGTCGAAGAAGGATCGCGGACAAAATATGGGGGACTTTGTCGAGCCTGTAGCAAGGCTTCCTCTCTGATTTCGGCCTGCTCAGCCGACTTCGGACTTTTTTACCCGTAATGTCCCAAATCGGATCAAGAAGCGAACGTTGAGACTCCGGAGCAGATTTTCTGCAAGAATCGGATTTCTCTCGTTTAACGAAGTCCCCCTCATAGAATATGGAGTTGTGACTCGGGACTCGGACTCCGGGAGGGATTCTAACCGATACGGGAGCATGAGCTCCCAAACAAAATCGGTAACAAGCCTTCGGTACCGACCATCTTTGTGCGAGAAATAATTGGGAACTCCGTTCCTGCCCGGCAATGATGATGATCCCCATCATCCTCGCACAGCTGAGTTCTTGGAATTCCAAGGGTCAAGGTACTGAGTCTGTCGAAGAGTCGTCGAGAAAATGAGCTTAGCTGTGCCTCGCTTTGAGGGCATCTCTCGAACGAACGCCGTCGATGCCACCACAGTCGCAATTGGCGATGGATGTCGACGACGATCAACATAAAGCTATCCGTCGATTCGCACTCGAGCAGTCAGACTCCTCCGAGTCGGGCGAGTTGCGGGGGGGACCGGGGAACTCCAAGATCAAGGATGACTGCAATTATGACAAGTGCCGACTCATCATTGGACGCAGAGGCGGCTCTGGCACCCACTCAGCAGACTTCGTTTCCTGAATTTCCCCATTGCAATTTTTACCGCGGGCAATGATGGGAAGCTTTTGCGCCGCATGGTTTGACGTGAACGTATTTCGCTGCGGTGAGCGCTTTTTTTTCCGCGCACACCAGGAGGATAAAAGCTTCTAGGAGCATCAGCGGCGCAGCTATCCGGGCAACTGATTGAGTGAGTTATGTGGCGAGCCCCCGGCAGACACCTGTTGAGAAACTTCTTTTGGAACGTCCGTCGGAGAGAGCAGCCCTCTCTTCCAGTTAGTCAATCCGTCAGTCTGCGGGGAAGAGGATGGAATGAACTAACACGCAGAGAAGAGCGAGATTTTAAATGAATCGACCGACTAGCCGAGCAAACGAGACGATAAGGAAGAGCGAATGAATGAGCGCACACTCGCATAACCGACTCGGCGGGAAAATCAGCCCGAACCGCTCCAGCTCTCGCGAGCTTCTGGCGACGGAGTAGGAGAGATACTGAGAAAACTACGAGCACGAATTGGAGCCGAAAAATATTTCTAGCTCGGACGGATAGTCGACCAGGTGAAGATGAAACTGGGGGGGAAGAGCGTTCGCACTGAAATGAGCGGGGTAATAAACGAGGATGAAGAAGAGGTCTGAGATCCGAAGTTCGGACCTAGGTGAGAAATTACAGCATCCGGACGTGCTGGGCTGCAAGACCGGAGAGTTGAGCCGAGAGTATCTGACGGCTCGATCGGCGGGAGGTCGGAAGGTTCGTTCAAATAAATGAATGAATGACAGACTGACAGGCTCCGTCTCACGACGAGGTACCCACTGGAGATGGTGGGGGGAATGAATAAGTTCAGGGGTCGTTGCTCGCTCACGTGAGCGGAACGTTTGACCGTAACCCCCGAAACCGAAGATTCTGCGCTTGCGCAGCCGTCAGAAGTGTCTGCCTTAGAAGATGAGGAGCGGAACGAGGCGAGATGGGATAAGAAGGGGTTCGCTCTCGCTGTTTGACGGCCGATGGGATAGAACTCCTAACGGATCCCCTTCGATGGTGTCGGGATTCTCGCTTGATTCCCTCAGACCCATTCTCCCGAGTATTATCTGAAGTGTTCTTGCAGCTGTTGTCATTCCTCCTCGCGGGAGAGATTTCTCAAAAAGAACGCGCCCTGGTCGTTTATTCCTTCCGAAAGTGCTCCTTTCATTCGGTCGCACGGCAAATTTTCCATGGTCAAGTTATGCTCCTGCATACTGCGCAGCCGCCCTCGCTGGCCCGCCCGCCCGTCTATCCGTCCGTGCTTCCACAGACCATTGATGGTAGACAGCCGTGATGAGCGATGGTAGTGCTGCCTCTCGTGGTGGTGGTGGTGGGCGGACACGCTTTGAGCTTCGACGCCCTACTGTGAACTCAGTGTTTCGTAGCTGCATTGTTGCCAGTTGGCCAACAGTCAAGCTACGGAGCGACCGAACGCCAGGCGAGCGAGCGGTCGAGGTTAGGCGGCCGTTCTCCTTTTCCCTTAGCAGGGATCTTAAACCTCTCCCGGGGCTCCGAGGCTCCTCTGAGCCGCCAATTCCTTCTCATGGAGGCCCTAGTCGTGGAGTTGAACGAACGAGTTGCCCAGGAATGAGCGGGGCACTCTTCCCTCAGAAAAGTAGAATGACCCCTATATACTCGTTTCGTGAGAGCTTCGCGAACCTCGGAGCTCGGGAAGAGATGTGTCTAGAAGACCCCTTCGAACCGAAGAGGTCACAGCTCCTCGCCCCCTATTTCGTGGACCTTCGACTCGGTCGCCGTTTTAGGACAGAAAACGGCGGGGAAGCGATAACGAGTAGAGGAGGAAGCGAGCTCCTGCCTAAGAATCGACCACTTTCTCTCTCCCGAACGTTCGCATGGCTACCGGGGAGGTCCGCGTTAATGAGCAGAGTTCACCTTGGGACGCTCCACCGAACGCGGCAGGTTAGGCGAGGTGCTATGAAGGAATTGAGAATGATGGAGGCACTTCTTCGAGTTTGTCGGGAACGAGGAATAGGAGGCTATAGCATGGGGAAGAGAAGTGAAACGAGGGAATCGCTCGAGAGGAGAGAGATGAGCGGGCGAGGCGGAAAGGTTTCCGCTCGAAACCAACGCCCCGGGGCAAAAGTCGTGAAAATAGCTAAGTGGTTCGTCGGTCCGTTCGACGGTTAGTTGGCGGAGTATTGAACTCGATGCTGAGCCTCCTCTGATGGAAGTCCTTCTCGCTGTCGAGAAGCTCTCGTCTTTTCGAACGATCTGAACCAACGCTCTGACAGCCTGCCCGCCGCCGGTGGGCCATAAAGTTTCAAAGCCAGTCGGTGAGCTCGCTATGGCTAGCTAAAGAGTAACTGGGTGTGTTCTTTCTTCCATCAATAAAGCAGCCAGCCCGACGGCGGTCGAACCGATGGGAGAAAAAGCTGGACATCGAGTCGGATGAAGAGAGAGGGAGGGCAGCTTGCTGCTCCCGTGGTCCCATTCGTCTGCGCGGCGGTCACGTTGCACCGCTGACTGAACCGTCCGCGTGTGTTCGAGCTGGACGGTTCGACAGCGGACCGGCTCCGTTAACATCATGAAAAATACATTAACTTCTACCCTATGTTCCCGTTCTTGCCTTTCGGCTGACCGGCTTGCCGCCCACCCGCCCGTCGCTGGCCGTCCTTTGGCCTGACCAGCTTGTCTGCTTGCCTATCGTCGACATCCAGCCTCTCGGGGAGGGTCCTCACCACGTTGATTATTTGAATAAATGGTGGGTTCACCCCTGGAACTTTTTCCTCGATCAATCTCGGACGGAGCAGTTGATATGTACCTACCACGAATTCGAATCTGAACTTCCGAGTGAGGAATCACGTTGGACCAAAGTTCACGGTGACAGAAAGTCTCTTTATCAGCGAGAGACTGCGTCGGGGAACCGACTGCGACTACGGAAAGAATCCCAGCCTATTGTTGCCGTCTGGTGTCTGTAAACTCGATGGTCGGCCATGACGTACGAGAGCCGGCTCTCTCCGACGGTCATCGAGTTCGATTCCGAATTGATCCGGCCGCTGCGTAGGTCGGGGGAGTCGACTCGTCACCCCGGAAACGAGCCCGGCGAAAGCCAACACGACGTCTCCATAATTACTGATGTCTAAACCAATAATTACCTTGTTGGTGGAGCGACAGAAAAGCGACAAAGTAGTTTTTCCCCATTGGAAGTTCCCTCGTGCCCGAGTGCGCTCAGATCCTCCACAGTACACCCGGGTCTCGCGCGCTTGTGCGTTCATAGAGCGTCGAGAGACTCGGAAGCTTTCCTTGGAGGCGGCACTCTTTCTCCAATCTCTCTTTTTGCTTTATTTTTTTTGTGGTAGCGAGCGAGATGGCCCGGTCGGACGCCGCAAGTCTCGCGCTGCTCGCAGTAATGAGAAGAGGATACTCATCATTGATGCTCCCTGGCCCTCCCACAGGCCTCGAGGGACGACCAACGTCATCGTTCACGGTCCCGATTTAGTCGGTCGCGTAAGATTATGGCCATTTCGGCCTCTGCCTACCCGCCGCCATATCCAAGCCCGTTCCCGAGGCGGGGCAGGGCGGCTCCTCGAGGCGCGGCGACGTTGATCAGTATCCATATTAACACCCCGGTGGCTGAGTCTTTTGATTTATTTCTTTGACTCATCAGCCATCGAGCGGACGCGGCCAGCGTTCGTCGAACTGAAGGGGAGAGAACCATTTTTTCGTTCTTAAAGTGCCATTTGGCCTTCGCGATCCCTTATCGCTCGTGCTCCGGAATATTCATCAACTACTGCCCGAGCTCTGTCTCGAAGCATTGGAGGAATGGTGCTGGGATCGGGATTAATAGCCGGCGTTCACCCCTATGCCCCGGAGCATTTTCCCTGAGCATGAGGATCGGCTCCGCATACCGCGCCGAAGCCTGGGAAATATTCGGAGATCGCCTGGGGAGACCTTTGACACGGTGAACTCGGGAAGATGAGCTCTTCGAAGCTTCGCCGCTCCTGCGCTTCTTGGTGTTCTCCATCGATCCGTCGCGTCGGTCGAAGGCGAGTGATCGGCCGAATTGGCGGGAGGTGCCGCTGCCGGTCGTGGGAGAGACTGACAAAAGTTCGGCACCGTATGAGCATTAGAATAACGAGCAAGTCAAGAATGTCATTTATCAAATATTTCCCCCCATGAGGAACTGCGGCGTACGCTTCC